GCCTTTTAGGCGGGTCTCCAGCTGTTTCTTCCGAGAGAGAGAGTGCTGTGATGAGCTGCTTCAGTGTTGGGAGCAGGCCTTGCTAGGGTCGTGGGTGTGCCTGGCGCACAGAGTCCCAGCCAATATCCAAGTTAGGCACTGGAGTTACAAGGCACCCAACCCCCGCCAGCAACACATACCAGCAGTGCTGGCTAGAGAATCCCACCGTCCTCAAAGGCATTAGGCCAACCTAGGAAAACACTCCTGCATTTTACCGGGGCAGACTGAGCCCCATGAGCTGGGGCCAATAGTGTAGTGCTCACTCCAGAGCCCAGGCCCTCACTGCCCTCTCCACTGTGCAGGAGAGAGTGGGAGAGGGGATCCGGCGTGACAGCCAGAGGACTCTGTGGCCCACACTGTCAGAACTAGGGAAATGCTCCTCCCTATTACCTCCCCTCCCCAACCACCTGAAACACTGCACGTTGTGGCTGAGTGTCTGTGCTCTGAAGGTCAGTAGTGGCTGTAGGGGCTGAGTAGACACAGAGACTCTTAGCTGTAGCCCAGATTCATAGTTCTAAGAGTTTCACTGCTTCTGGGTAGAGGAGGCAGTAACACAGATGCTACCTGAGAGAGTAGCTGGATCTATGAGAGTGACTTTGGCTCTGTAACAGCAGGGCAAGCTGTCTGGGACGACTCTCCATGTACTGTTTACTTGTTTGAGTTGTATGCAGCGACCTCAAGCCTGAGCATCAGGTGGGAAGCAGCGCCCAAACTCCGGTAGTTTGCATGGGAGGGGCTAGCATCCAGAGCCCTACACTGGGCCTGAGCCAAACACAGATCCTGTGCAGCAGAGATAGCAGCAAAGAATAGGCTTGTACGGTACTGGGCTCAGCACAAAGAGCCCAGTGGTGCATCCTATAAGCAGGTTGTTGCTGGGCTGGGTGGAGTGCCTGAGGTTGACGTCTGAGCTTCAGAGGTATGCACTGGGTGGGGCTGGGGGGCTGCAGCCTCAGTTCATGGTTGGAGCAGGAGGCCCAGATACTCCAGATGTGCATGGTGGAGCGCCTGTGGCTACTGTCGGGGGGAAGGGCATGTTGCAACTGATGAGTACGTCTGGAGTCCCCTCACTCACCCTGATGTGCACACTGTCAGGAGTGCCAGCTCCTCCTGGCACCACTGTGACATCCACCCCCAGTGAGGAGAGAGCTGCAGGTCTCTGTAGTCAGACCGGGTGGGTGCACAGACACTCTGCCACAACGTGCAGTGTTTTAGGTGCTTGGGGGAGGGCAGGTAATAGGGAGGAGTATTTCCCTAATTCTGACAGTGTGGGCCACAGAGTCCTCTGGCTGTCACGCCGATCCCTGCTCCCACTCTCTCCTGCACAGTGGAGAGGGCTGTGGGGGCCTGGGCTCTGGAGTGAGCACTACACTACTGGGCCCAGCTCATGGGGCTCAGTCTGCCCTGGTAAAATGCAGGAGTGTTTTCCTAGGTTGGCCTAGTGCCTTGAGGACGGTGGGATTCTCTAGCCAGCGCTGCTGGTATGTATTGCTGGTGGGGGTTGGGTACCTTCTTACTGTTCTCAGCAAGATGGTGTTCCTGGCTAGGAGCAGGTGCGGTAGGAGCTGCAGCTGCTGGTGCCAGTGGGTTCTGCAGTGCATCTGCCCTCTCTCTCTCTGCTGGTTTCTGGAGTGTCTGCACTGTTCTGTCACTGCTTTACTGGCTTCTTTAGCCCTTGTGAGGGTGGCTTGGTGTGTGAACGGCTGTGGAGACTGGTGTCTCCAGGGAGGTGATCACTGGAGCTTCTGACTGAGCTGCCATCTGTGCCTACCTGAAGAAGAACTTCGAGAGGGAAACAAATGGGTGGGAAGACCCTGTGGAGAGAGGTAGCGGGCGTGCTGGAAGAACTGCAGAGAACTGTCTAGAGGGTCTCAGAGAAGCGACATGGGGTGTGAGCAGTGGGGAGTGGGTATCCTGTTCTGGTGAAGCCCCGTTCAGACTTGGCCCTTCTCTATAGAGAAAGGGGAAGTAAGGGAAGCATTTCAAGCCGAGGCTTAGAGGGACGGGCGTGCATGGATCGGACCTGAGCATGGACCGAGTACACAGGGGTGGAAACGAGGCTAAAATGTTCAGATGTCCGGCTCAATGACCTGGATGTTGGCTATCAGTATTCACGACTAAGAACAGAAGCTGGCCTCTGCGGAAAGTCCAGGACTTTGGTTTGGGATGTGATGGATGGCTTTGGGCTATGTAGGAGAGACTGGAGGGGGCGGCTGGAAAACAAGGAGGAGCATCAGTCCCCATAGCACAGGAGACCCACACGTGCTATAGACAATGAAAACCTGTTCAGGCCACCGCCCTCTCAGCCTTCGCTTGACAGATCTGGGGGCCCTTTCAGATGCATCCCAGCTCCCCCTGCACACAGCACTGTGAAGCTCAGCACGGTGTTGCTGCACCCTTTCCTCCTGCCTCGGTTTCACCAGACGTCTCTCCCCTTATCTTAGTCTGTCCTCCCTGGCTTGCCACAAAGCATTTCTCAGATAAAACCTTAATTTTACTGCATAAAAGAGCCTGCAGTTTGGAAGAAGCCAAGGTGAGATAGGTGTCGGACGTTTCACTGGGGAAAGTTCCCCTTTGTTTCCTGAAACGAAGGCATTCAGCATAATATGTTAAACTCTAAACCTGCCCTTTATTTACCACTGCAAGCAAATCAGGTCTGAAGCCCAAAAGAGATAAAACTTGTAAGTCACTTGTATATTATTTGTAATGGAAACTTTCCCATGGATAAAATTGTCTGAGACGTACCAGCTGTGGTATGGTAAGAGAAAAGAATCTTTACTATTTTGTTTAAGATTTATTTATTTGAAAGGCAGAATTACAAAGAGGCATTGGCAGAGGGAGAGAGGGGTCCTCCATCGCTGGTTCACTCCCCTGATGGGTGCAACAGCTGAAACTGTGACAATCTGAAGACAGGAGCTTCTTCCAGGTCTTCCAGGCAGGTGCAGGGGCCCAAGAGCCTAGGCCCTCCTCTGCTGCTTTCCCAGGTCATAGCAGAGAGCTGCACTGGAAGTGGAGCAGCCAGGACTCGAACCGGCACCCATATGGGATGCCGGCATCATAGGAGGCAGCCCCAGGAAGCCTTACTATTTAAGTGCACTGGTCATTACATGGGTTAGATAGGATGACTCCTTGTTGCCTTCTACCCCCTACTCTGATAATTGGCATCATATGAGGCTAGCTAATGAACTTTAATATGTATTTTGCTTTATGTTTCAAACTGCCTGTGTATTTAATTCACATACATATTTTGATACTTTGGTTCCCCATTTCAGTGTAGATAAGTTTGAAGTGCCACTGGATCTTCTCAAGAGAAGGGGTTTGATCTTGATATAGGCAAAAACTTTATTTCACCCAATATGATAAGAGCTAACAAATTGATGAACTGACAGCACAAATGAATCTCTTTTACTCTATGCTAATACTTTCTTTTATTTAAAAAAAATTTTTTTTATTTGAAAGATAGAGAAAGGTCTTCCTTTCGTGGGTTCACTCCCCAAATGGCCGCAACAGACAGAGCTGCGCTGATCTGATCCGAAGCCAGGTGCCTCCTCCTGGTCTCCCACGCAGGTGCAGGCACCCAAGTCCTTGGGCCATCCTCTGTTGCCCTCCTGGGCCACAGCAGAGAGCTGGACTGGAAGAGGAGAAGCCGGGACTAGAACCCGGCGACCATATGGGATGCCGGCGCCGCAGGTGGGGGATTAGCCAAGTGAGCCACGGCGCCGGCCCCGTAATACCTTCTTTTAAAAACAGAATCGGCATAATCTGAAAATTAGATAATCCAATGTAGGAGAATCAAGAAGTGTCTGTACATGTAAGCAGTAGGGATTTTGCACATCAGTGCACAGTGAAACTCTTATTCTTCTAGTGTTTCAATATATGCTCTTCCTTCTGTAAACTTCCTCAGAGAAAGGTGAGGCTTCCCAATAAAGTCCTATAGCCCACTTTGCACAGAAGCAAACACAGAACACCTCACTGGGCCCCGGAAGCCGATTGTCGGTGAGTTCAGGCTGAAGGCGTCCGGAGGACCACTGTTGTCAACGAGCAGTCAGCGATCACCTCTGCGTATCTCTGGGTTTGGGTTTCTGGTCTAGGACAGCAAGAAATACCTGTGACCTGGATCCTTATATTCAGCTTCTGCCCTTGTATTTCCATCTGTGAAATGATCGGTTTTGTCTCCAAGTGCTCTAACTACCCTCCCAGGCTATACGTTAGCTCGTTCCAACAGCCCAACGCGGAGGATGCTTGAGCATTTTAATGGGCTCATTGATATTGTAGAACAGACTACCTGCTCTTTCACCTTAGGCATTTGTGCAGCTGCTAACTGAATTGTCCTTTTATGTCCCTAACTGTGGGCACAGTCTTAGGGGTTGATATTGATTTCCATCCTAGAAAATCGATTTTGATGTTAACATTTTAGGATGGCAATCAATAATGAGAGCCGCCACTATTTTCTTGGATTACTTAAAGAGCTGGATCGGAAGTGGAGTAGCCGGGACTCGAACCAGCGTCCATATGGGATGCCGGCACTGCAAGCAGCGGCTTTACCTGCTATACCTCAGCGGCAGCCCCACAATTGTCTTTCAAAAACTGAAATCTCACTGCTCTACTTAAAAATTGTTCTCATCACCTGCTACATTTTGTTAAAAGAAAAAAACAGCCTACTGGGTGTACCACTGTGGGCCTTTTACTCCCTAAGTCCAAAGGATTTTGAAAGCTTCTAACACTCTCTGTCTTGGGAGCCTTCATGGACACACTCTTTGCCATTTCAAAAATATGCCCCTGAGCTCTACGTCTGGCAGCTCTTCCCCAAGGTCTGCCCACTTCTTAGTGGAACTGTGATAATTCTTCCACGTTCACCTCCGACGTTGCCTTTTTATGAACCTATCCTTACCTTGAGAAATTAACTCCCTCTTCTATGATTGGCTGCCCACATACCTCATACGTTTGTCCTTCCTGTCTCTTAGGTTTCACGGTGTGAAGTGTCTCGTTTTCAGTGTGCTGTGACTGACCCTTGGAGCAGGAGCTCTCTGGAAACATTCTTGATGTCTTGCTCGTCCTTGAACTCTCAGCACCTACAACAGGGCTTACAGAAAAAGCGAATGCATTGAATCAGGTGAGGCTCCCCAGCAGGCCCTGGGGGAGGCAGCTGGAGTTTTATGTTTATTTGTCATGGATGCCACAGAAAAAACTCGTCTTTCTTGCTGTACTCACTAACTCTGTTATTTTGAGGTTATTTGTTGTCAAAGCTCATTTTCATCTGCAAAATGATTTCAAAATGATTCCTGCTACGCACTGATTCCTGCTTCTCTATTTCTGAGCCCATGGTCTGATGGCATGTCTTATCTCCTGTGTGGTCAGTAGGAGCATGGCACCCCCGTAAACCTGTGGATCTAAGCCCTGGACGTCAGCAGGATAGAGACCTCGTATTCTAGGAAAGTCCTCTTCTCCCACACCATCCTGGAGCTCTCCAGGCAGGAGAGTGGCACTGTGTGGCCAGCACTCCTGGAACTCATGCATGTGCTAATAGGCGACACTCCAGCGTTGCTCCATGTTCTTCCTGGATGATCCTCTGTATCACCTAGAGAGGTTACCAGAACTTCAGAGTCCACCCAGGACTAGTGAGTCACAGTCTTGTGGGCAAGGAATCTGGTGTGTTAACCAGTTGTCTCCCCTTTTGTTAAAAATGTGATGGACAGCTCTGCCTCTGTAGTTGGGTTGAATTGAATGAGAATGCCCATTCATATTGATCCTGTTGAACGCCTGACCCAGAGTCTAGCACAAGGCTACACACAGACCAGACAGGCAACTGATGTAGTTGGAAAGTGAAGCCTAATTCCTGCCCTTCCTTCCATTTCAGGGACAATTGTGAGCAAAAATGACAGAGTATATGAAATCGCTTTGTATGCCAAAAAATAGTTATCATACCACACCATGAAAAGAAACTAACCATGTAACTGAATCTTCTTGACCACTCACTCTATGGTGAACACGCTTGCATGAATTTAAATTTATTCTTCTATCTTTTCCAAACCCCTTAGAGAGGAAGGGAGGAAGATGGGGACAGAGAGACTCTTCATTCTCCTCTTATTTTATAAAATTTTGAATAAGCACCAGAATTACGCAGCACCACATGTTTTAACTAAGCCTCTGGGTATCACCCTAGAGTTTCTAATTCAGAAGGGTTGGGATGCTGCCCACTCATTTGCATGTCACATACATTTCCCTGATTCTAAGGCTTTTGATGAGGACCACAGTTTGAGAAACAGGACAGCAGAGCTAACTCACCTAGGAGTTCCCTTTCCAGGGCCTTTGTTCTTAACTAATACTTTCTTTAATTTTACTACCATTCTAATCCTTATAAATGCACACACTCAATGTTATATGATATTTCTAATTTATTTTTAATTGCGAATAGTACATAAAGAAGGTAGAAAGTCCATCTCAACTACAACTAGGCATTTCTTATTACTGCTGAAGGAGGAACTGGCCAATGGATTTCCTTCCTCATTGCATCCTTGTAGGTCAGCTATCTTTGCGAGACTTTTAAAATTTGATTTCTGGAAGTTGAAAGCAAGACTCATTGCTGGAAAGAAATTCCCAGCCGTGGATTTTAGCCATATTTGCTGATCTTGTCTGACAGCTCTCTCTGCCTTCTTCACAAGGTGCCTTCAGCCGAGGTATGCCCCCTCCTTGTCCGTCCCCCGTGTGTCTTAGGCAGGGAAAGTTTCTGTGTCCTGTGAGAATAAGCAAACATGAGCGATGTGGAGCTATTTTAGTAAAACTTGGAAATCCCCACTGAATCCTGAAATTTGAGCATAGTTAGAGTTTATTTCATGTTTTTTCTTTCCCAAAATGAAGTAAAGCGTTATTTAGCTACAGTATTGTAGCTAAAGGCCTAACAATTTGCCTTGCTAAACTCCTCTCAGGAACGTGTTTTTTATCAGGTAACACAAGCAGTACAAGGATTGAAAAAGGTTTTGTTTAAGCACTTCTGCAGCAGCTTCTTCCAAGTTCAGAAAATAAAATTTTAAAAGGGTGTGATATGAAAGGGATCATACCATTGTCGTAGTTAGATGGTGGAATCTGAAAGTGTCATTCACAGTAAGAAGAATAAGAATTTGAAAAATGGTCACTAGCAAGAGGACCAAATTTATTCACAATATCCTATAAATTAGAAAAACTGGGGGAAAATGCTACTTTCCTATCGTTGCATTGTAGTCCACAGTACAAAGTAATGCCAAACAAGGGAAATAACAGGATAATGACAAACACGAAGCATCAACTCTGATGATACTGAATATCATAAAAGCCTGTGATTATATTACTAATGTCAGCTATGGTGGTTAGGAAGAACTCAGATGCAAGGAGAAAGCCGAAGGCAATATAAATAAAAGGGCACGTCCCAGACGTTGGATGATTAAAGTCCCTGTGTTAGCCTTTGTTAAACGCACAGGTTGGGGTGTCGTTGTCGGGGCAGGGCGAGGATCACTGACACTGTAGGAGGAATGCTCATTGCCAGGACATGATGGCCACAGGAGTCTCTCATGCTAGAAGCCACCCCTGGTAGAAGTAGGACTGCATGTGGCTGCAAGTAAAAGGACCTGTTGCACGTGTCAGGGCTGCTAAGCCTCACCCAACGTGAAACCTGACATTGTCTCAGAGGCGTGTATGTGGCTGGGGGCTACCGTCAGAGTTGGGGGTCTCCGACTTGTGATCCTGTCTTCCTCGGCTGTGCCTTTTGTCCTCATTCATAACAGATGCCCGCCACACTTGAAAGCATAAAGCCCTTCTCTCAGGCCGGCAGAAGGAGAAAGGGTCAGAAAGAGAACACTGCCAGCAAGCCAGGCGTTTCCAGGAGAGCCGATGTGTTGGTCATTCTGCCTGCCCAACAGAGGAAAACAGTCAGGTGTGGCTTCTGCGTCACTGGTCCCCATGGTGTGGCACAGTCCCGGCCTGGGCACTGCTACCAGGAAGCTTCTTGAAGCTTATTGTCATTACCTGAAAGACAGATAGATAGATAGAGATTTTTCGTCTGCTCATTCACTCCCCAAATAGCTGTGACAACCACTTCTGGGCCAGGCCAAGGCCAGGGGAACTCCATGGAACTCCCCTCCACGTAGGCTGCAGGGGTCCAGGCACTTGAGCCATCCTCGGCTGGTTCCCAGGATGGATGGCCATGACACTGGCTTGGAAACAGGGTAGCCAGGCCTCAAACCAGCACTCTGATTGGGGTGTCTACGGGGCAGGTTAGGCCACTGGGACACAATGCCTGCCTTGGGGAACATGTATTGCATATTCCTGCTTCCTGAATGACCCATCTGTGCGAGAACCTTCTGTGACAGGCAGATGTGTCAAGAACACCTTCATAAGCTGTCGCTCCCCCTCTTCGCGGAGGAACAACACAGGACCCTGCGCTGTTCTTTTGTCTGCTCGGCCCTTCCCGGGTTTGCTCCGTGGAAGGGCGGTGCCCCCTGCCACTTTCCCCACTTCTGCGGGGGAGCGGCACACCACTGGCTGGCTCTCTCGGGGGCTGCTCAGATGTTATCCGGATGTTCCCCTTAGATGTTCCTGGTGCATGTTGTCTCTCTCCTCCTTTATAGTCCTCTTCCACCAATCCCAACTCTGCTGCCCACACGCCGGGCACACTGCTCTCCTCCAATCAGGAGCAGGATCAGCTCCTGCAGGTTACTGGTCGAACTGGAGGCAGCTGTGTAAAAGTTGTTTACTCCTCTCCCAGCGCATATTGTGGGAGAGCAGATGCATAGAATAAGTCTTAATTCCAGTAGGCAGATGTGTCAAGAACACCTTCATAAGCTACAGATCTGCTGGAGGTTACTCTGCTGGAAGTAGAACGTTCAGGAATAGTCTTGCTGGATTTCCTCTCCTACTGTCACACCTGGTGTGGTTGGGAACGGCTGAGTGAACCAGGCACACCCATACCTAGAGCACCCGAGGACGGATGCTAACTCTCGGAGACACTGCAGCCTGGGCTCCTGCAGGGGTGAGGGTGACTGTCCACGCAGTGCACCGAGTACGTCACCCAGCTGCAGAGAGCAGTATTCCTTCTTGGCTCCCCTACCTTTGCGGTTGTTCAAGTGAAGGCCAGCCAGGCGTAAGAAACAGGACCCACTGCTAAACCACCTCCCCACTACTGACCTCTTCTTCAATGATTCTGTTACCGGAGAAGCAAAGGGTCCTTGTCTTGGCTCAAGAAAGCATTCAGGCATGAGACAGAGAGTAGTGGAAAGCCACATAGCAGGGTTTATTAGGGCAGGGACATCCATAAGAACGGATGGGCTCCTCTCCTCTCCAGACAGGACCTGAGAGAGTGCCCAGTCGCTCAGACTGGGGGAGAGCGGGGTTACATGGCTGAGTGGAGAGATTACACCTGGGCAGGCCAGGTGGGCGGCTCAGCAGAGAGGCAGAGGGCTGAGCGCGCAGTCCGGTTGAAGCTGGGGTGTTTAAGGGAACGGGTCTTGCCTTCTGCCTCTTCTCCTGGAACAAAGGACTTTTTGGATGTAAATATAAAAAATTCCTTCCTGAGTTTCCCCCCTGAAGTTATCAGACAGAGGGAAGCCTGGCTGGCATCGCCCCACCTTCGAGGAGCCTTAGAGGAAGGATGGTTATCGGGTAGAAGGGGCAGGGTGTTTGAAATGCAGATACTGTGCTGCACCTGGAAGGTTATCTGGATGATTTTGAGGTGCGGATGCTGGACCTAGATGTCGACTCCTTAGGCCTTTGTCACATACACTAAGCTCATTTCTGACTTCCTACCCAACAATTGAAAGACCCAGTCCAGGGCCCTGCAGCTCCTCCATTCCTGCCTGGGGGAGGTATGCTTTGCACTCACCCAATTACATCATTTCCCTCCAGGTAAATAACTATAGATGTATTTGCCAACCTGCTGAGGTAGGCTGCATTTCATATGAGCTAAGAGGATTCTGACTGATCTCCTTCAAAATCTTGTAGTGATATTGGCTACTTTCGTCTGCCACCACTTTGTTTTTGAAAGATTGTCATAATGAATGAGTGTTATTAAGATTCAGAAATATACTCTGCCAAAAGGAACCTGGAATTCTGGGGCAATACTCAAAGTGCTAAATACCTGAAACAGCACAGGCCCCAGCTCAAAAGAAAAAAAAATTGCTGGCCTGCTTGCTGTACCAGTATTTACCAGCAGGAGGCAGTCCTGGGGCTCCCTATGTCTCCCACCTCAGGCACCTGGAAACCCAGTGCTTGGCTTTAGTGGGTCCACTGGAACCTGCTGCCTAACACTTTAGTGCTTTGAGTAAATGATCAAAAGGCAGAGGGCTGGTTCAGATTCCTCCAAGCAGTAGCCTTACCGTCTACAAGGGACGGAGTGGTTGGTGATGCTACAGCTAGCGCACTGTGCTCGCCTTTGTTTGTCCTTCATTTCTCTCCCTGTTGCAAAGACAATTCCAGTGCTTCCTGCTCTAGGTCTCCACAGCTGCCTTGGTTGCTGCTCCCTTCCCATCTACTCCTCACTCAGCTTTTTATTCTCTAAAGGTGACTGGATCGTGTTAGCTTTTTGTCTTGCTCCCAAAAACACCGGCTTAAATTCAGCAGAAGGCTGGCCTGGGCCGTGTGCCTTTCTCTTGGACCCACACCTTGTCTTTGTGGGGCTTTGGGCAACAGGAGAGAGAGCCCCCTTGGAGGAGATGGAAGATGTCTGCACAGCCACACAGACTTCCAGGAAAATAAGTATCCATCCTGACTCCCGCCCATCTGAGAACTGTACATCAGAAACACCTGTTTTCCACACTGCTCGCTCTTCTCTAGACTCTGAGCAGGGAGAATTCATCTGATGCCCCTGCAGATAAGAGAGTAAACCATTTATCCCAAATGAGGTTGCTTCTGGGTTGGCTGGCTAGAACGTATTTACTCAAAATCTGGCTCTAATATTTCATGTATTTTAGCATAAGAGGAGCTTCTCTCTATAAAAATTATTTGATTTCTGTATAACCCCTTGCAACAGAAACAATGCATATGGTCCATAAAGGAAAAAAGGAACACAAGCATGAAATTGGCACAGACATGATAAACCGAAAAATCGTATGCATGTGCCAGAAATGGACTATGAGTTCTCCAAATCACCCTTAGAGAACAAAGCGTCGTGTGAGATGCAAACAGACTTACCACAGTCAATTTAAATCTTGAGGTTACAGATGCTTCCTAGAGCAGACTGAGCCACCTGTCCTCACCATCGTACAGCCAGCATCCAACCCTGTCACCTTTAGCTTCCTAAACCGCTTTGGAATTCAGTGGAGGGTCCTGCAATGAATTTACAAGTCATGAATTAAACGCTTGCTGTTCCAACGTCCTTCTTCATGACTCGCTGCATCGGTTTTTGTTGGCTTTCCTTGGGGCTTTAGACTTAGGGGATTCTGAGGGGAAAAACCATATGTTAGTCTCTGACTTACATTCAGCTAAAAATGTCTGTAAATGGCAGAGATTTTTGTTGCCCTGTCTTTTAAAGATTTGTTGGTTAGAGTTATATACCAAGACCACCTGACTACTAAGAACCAAAGCTTGTTTGTAAGGAGGTTGTAATTTTATCCAAACTCTGTGCATTTTGTGATAGAAGTTTTTATATCTCTTCTAAAGATTCATTTATTTGAAAGAGTTAACAGTGAGGAAAGGAGACACACAGACACACACACCTTCCATTTGCTGCTTCACTCTCCCAGTGGCTACAAGGGCCAGGAGCTTCTTTGGGGTCTCCCACATGGGTACAGGGGCCCAAGCATGTGGGCCATCTTCTGCTGCTTTCCCAAGGCCATTAGCAGAGATCAGAAGTGGAGCAGCTGGGACATAAACTGGTGGCCATATGGAATGCCGGCATGGCAGGCGGCGGCAGCCTAGCACCACGCCATAGCACCAGCTCCTGTAATACTACCTCTTCCTAGACATGCACAGAGCCATCGCATCTTCGGGAACACAAGCAGCTCCTCACCCCATACTGTTGGATGACATATATAGCAGGGCAAGCGCTGTGGGCTTTGGTGACCATCCGTCCTGCCAGCAGTTCCCGGGAGACACAGGGGCAATGACTGCTTGTCTCTGAGCCTAGGTCCAGCTGTCAGCTTCCTCAGGAAGCTCTGAGGACCACATTCAATAATTTCCATGACCCTCGAGAGCTTCTGGCACACAGTAGATCCTTCTTAGCTCTTTCCTTTTTTCTGTTACCCAACAGGACCGATTCACTCCTCCGTAATTGTTTATACCTAACACTGTGTCTATTGGAGGAAGCTTCAGTCAAAATAATGATGATGACGACGACGATGACAGCAAAATAAAGACAACCCAAAAACCTGTCCTGTGGGTAATATCAAATCTATGCAGAAAGCGTTCAGCTTTGATGGTATAATTCATCTCTTCCCTGAGAAGTTCAACTGGTTACGACAGTGGGGAAGAAACTCAGAGGAGTGATAAAGCTGCATTATAGCAGGAAAACAATGCCATTTTATCCTGTTCTCTGTGAACTTCAAATATGTTGCTCGATACAAGGTACAGACCTTGGTTCCTACTCTGTCTCTCTCGCTCCCTCTCCCTCTGTCTGCTTCACTGTTGTTTTATGTTTGTGTGTCTATTCTGAATATCTGAAGAACTTGAAAATTTGAGAGGATTCTAGCAAGATTCTCAAGAGAAAATGAACAGCAAAGGTGACTGGGAAATTATTTTTTAGAATTATTATTTAGAAATTATTTTTTTTCAGGAGCTGGTGTTGTGGCGTAGTAGGTTGAGCATCCGCCAACAGCACCGGTATCCCATATAGGAGCGAGTTAGAGTCCTGGCTTCTCCACTTCCGACCCAGCTCCCTGCTGCTGGCTTGGGAAAGGAGTAGGGGATGGCCCAAGGGCTTGGGGTCCTGCATGCAGGTGGGAGACCCAGAAGAAGCTCCTGGCTTTGGATCGGCAGAGCTCCAGCCATTGCGGCCTTTTGGGGAGTGAACCAGCGGGTGGAAGATCTCTGTTCCTTTGTAACTCTGCCTCTCAAGTAAGTAAAAAAAAAAATCTTTAAAAAATTTTGGTTACAAAGTAATTCTTATTTCCTTAATTTGTGAATGAGTGTACCTCCATCTTGGCTGCGCATCAGATTCACATGGGAGTCTGTTGAACAAACCTGGTGCCTGGGCCCTCCCTCACTGTTCTGATACAGGGTCTCCAGTGTGCATCCATGGTTGGCGCCCCCTCACACTGGGGGTACTTCAAAATGCTCACAGGAAGTGGAGTTAAAGGGAACTATTTTGCTGTAAAAATCTTTGGAAGGGCTGGCACCGTGGCATAGGAGGTTAGGCCTCAGCCTGCAGTGCTGACATCCAATGTAGGCACTGGTTTGAGTCCTGGCTGCTCCACTTTGGATCCAGTCCCCTGTTGCTGTGCCTAGAAAAGCAGCAACAGACGGCCCAAGTGTCTGGGCCCTTGCAGCTATGTGAAAGACCGAGAAAGATCTCCTGGCTGTGGCCTGGTCCAGCCCACCCCACCCACCGACTACGGCCATTTGGGGAGTGAAGCAGCAGAACGAAGATTCTCTCTGTAATTCTGACTTTCAAATAAATCTTAATCTGTGTGTATTAGGAGTCTTCCCAGAGTTCCTAGAAAATGCATATGATGAAAAAAATGTATTTCATGATATTTTGCACTGGTATAAATTTTCTTACTCTGTTTTTCCATCAATACTGTGAAATACCCTTTTGTGTTGGTAGTTGAGGGAAAAGTGCATCTCAGAAAGTTACCTGCACACACAGATCCCTCCCACTAGGACTCGCTCGGGTGCCTGTCACAGACCTGGGACTGTGCACTTCCACAAGTCATAGCACATCTTGCATTATTGCACTTTTTTTTTACTAGACTAGAAGCACTATGAAGGCAAGGACAAAGCTGTAATTTTCAGTTATCTTCAACGAACCCAGTGCCAACCTCTCAATACTTACTGTTGCACAATTCTGCAACGGCTTTTTTCCTTCAAGGGAGTCAGGGAGGGTAAAGATGGGGAGAAGCAAGAGGAATGGGTGTGGCAGCAGCAGTAGGAGAAGGGGTGAGGGCAGCGAACCCTGCAGTGCCTGCCTTAGAAAAAGAAAGACAGGGGTATGCATAAGTTACTCATGTACTGCACCGGGAATTATGTTTTATATTCAGCAGCATGAACCCCACCGAGTCTCTCAAGATTTCTTGAGTTGGTGTCTGTGTGTGTAGAGAGTCAAGACAGAATGAAGTGAGTGAATTTTTTGTTACCTACCTGGGTGCCTCTCGATACGCTGATTTAGAGCCTTCATTAAATCTGCTCCACTTGGCACAGGAGTCACCTGTGCCAAGTCAGCTATTGCACCTGTGTGCAAGTCAGCTATTGACTCCACCTCCTCCAGGGATCGCATTTTCAATGTCTCAGTTTACCCATTTATAACACAGTAATCTCTGCAGCAAAGCTGTGCACTCGCGTTCACTGTTGGCATGATACCCGCAGAACTTTTGACAGGTTCATTTGAAAAATGAATAACATTTTCCTGATTTGATTGCAATTTAGCATATACACACTTCATACTTCAATTATATTAATCAAAATGAAGATTTTCACATGACAGCTTTAAGCCAACAGTCTCAGTATTTGAACCTATTTGAACCTCTTCATTAGAACATGGAGTTGGATGACTTGATAGTTGTTAAAATAAGACTAGAAAATTCTGGTTTAGAGATTTGGGGGAGGATTTCATTGCAGCTTTCTCTGCAAATGTAAGTCTATTTCTAGGTTGTCCATGGATAAGAATGATTCTCCTGCTCCCTTTTGTCACCCGTGCCCTGTGGCACGCGGCTTTGTGTTACTTCTATGTGCCTGCATTTTGTTGATGAACGCAGGCCAGTTCCTGACTTGAATCAAAAGAGCAAGTTCTTCCAGACTGGTCTTTTCCCCTTAGTTGCTCCTGCACCTGCCCCTGTAAAATCTGGGCACTTCCCCCCTGTGCGGGCTCCTCCTTAGGTGACACAGTTCTTAGCTACAGTGCGTGTTCTATCTCCAAGAAACGGCCACAGCCTCTGTGTGCTGCATCTGGCCTTCTCCCTCCGGAATCATCTTCCAGATACCCCAGAAGTGATCTCTGATGCAAACTATAAGAATGCACTACAGACCACAGTTTCCAGGAAGCTCCAGACATCCATTAGGTAAACAGTGGTTTCTGAGCTGAAGGCACTGTACAATCCCACCCTTTTGTGCTTATACTCCGGACAGTCAGTAGGTCCATCCTCTAATCATCTGTCAGCCAAGGTACCCTTCCACTCAGACCGAAGTGCCTGGGGTTCACACACAGCCGCCAAGTCAGTGTCGCTACGCTCATTCCCACTGTCTGGGCGACCCTTTCCCTCCTTCCTTGACTTCCGCATTCTGGACAGCTTTCTCTGTTTACCACTCCCAGAGCCGCAGCAGGTGATGCCAGGCAGGCAGCTCTGGACACGCAGGTGCATGCCATTGGCGGTGCTGACCCCATCGTAGTGAAGGCAACTGGGGATCTGTCTGTCTCCGCCATGAGAGTGCCCATTACTTTAGGACCTGGACCCTGGTTCTGCCCCTCTCTATGTCCCCAATGCCTCATCTATGTTATTACTAAATAAATGGGAAAATGGATCAAGCCTGCTATTCACAGAGTCTAGTGTAATATATGGAGTCTGTTTGATAACTATGCAAGTGGTGAGATTAGTGGAGTTTTCAACCAATGGAAAATAGAGTTGTCTTACAGGGCAGCAACCCCTCCGCATCAGTACTGTTAAGGCAGAAGTGAGGGGCGTGGCTTTGCGGTGTTGGGGGTTAAGCTGCCACCTGCAAAGCCAGCATCCCCCACGGGCACCGGTTCATGTCCCAGCTGCTCCACTTCTGATCTAGTTCCCTGCTAATGGCCTGGGAAAAGCAGAGGAGAATGGTCCAAATCCTTGACCCACTGCATCTACGTGAGAGAAATGGATAGAGCTCCTCACTCCTGGCTTCTTCCTGGCCCAAACTGGGGAGTGAGCCAGTAAATGGAATCTCTGAGAGAGAGAGAGAGAAAGGTCTTCCTTCTGTTGGTTCACCCCCCCCAAATGGCCGCTACGCTGTGCCGATCTGAAGCCAGGAGCCAGGTGCTTCCTCCTGGTCTCCCATGCGGGTGCAGGGGCCCAAGCACTTGGGCCATTCTCCACTGCCTTCCCAGGCCACAGCAGAGAGCTATACTGGAAGAGGAGCAACTGGGACAGAATCCGGCACCCCCACCAGGACTAGAACCTGGGATACCGGCGCTGCAGGTGGAGGATTAGCCAAGTGAGCCACGGCCAGAGTTAAAATCTTAAAAAAAGAAGAAGTAAAGCAAAAGCCAGCATCACATATTAGGAACAACATGAGGTGGATGGAAGAAACTCAAGGTTAATTAATCTCTGCTCTTCCCTGCTCTGAAAATCTCTGGGTCATGGAGTATTACAAATTGGTTTTTTGAGACATTCTCATTTCACTGAATTCTGGCACTAACAAATGCAATTCAAAGCCCACCGATTCTCTAGCCTTGACACTTTGATGACATTTTCATGCCCGGGGTTGTAAACCAGCCATCTTGGGCAACTCCTTGCTCACAGACAAGGCTAGTTTGAGATTTGATGTCAGTGTGCCTGGGGCATCATTTGCAGTCCAGCTTGCCACTGGCCCAGTGTCACTGCGTAACCCCAGCCCACTCACGGTCGTTCGCTCCCTGACTTGGTCTCCTGAGGTCTGCCATGGCTCACCTCCCTCCCAGAGTATCCAACAGTCAGTCTCTGGATACCAGCAGAGTGATTGCCTTTCCCCAGGTCACCTACTTAACACTTGTCAAAGGTTTCTCTTGGCCCAAGGCAGTGGTCTCAGTCCATCCTGCACATCTGAATCACCTGGGAAACTCACCAAAAAAACACACTCCCATCCCCAATCAAAAATCTCTGACGGTAGAGCTCATGTATTTGCATTTTTAACTTCCCCAAAATAATTCTAATCTACAACCAGGAGTAGATCAGTAGCTTACAGAATTAAGTCCTAAATCGTTAAGTGACCTAATGGCTGGCCAGATGCCTGTCCACACATGAGTTCCAGTCTGGAGTCATCCCATGCTGACTTGCGTCCTGTATTCACAAAGAACCGGAAGCTGTTGCAGACTGCTTGGTGAGGTGGTGGCTTATGCCCCATGCCAGCCTTTCCTTCTCCTTTCCCCAGCCACTTACATACATTTCAAAACACCTAGCTTGCTGCCTTAGAGCCATTTCCTAAAATATCTACTCTCACCTCAAGAGGAGTGGCCTCTGCTTCAGCTGTCTCCTGTGTTGATACTGGCTGCACACCTATGGTGCTACCATAGTGTAGGAATCCTTATAACTCAGTGTGCACACGAACACATTTCATCACATGCAGATTGCGATTCAGTAGGTCTGGATGTGGCTGGCCATTCTGCACTTCTAACAGTCTCACAGGTGACTCACCTATGGCACAGCAAGGCTTTAAATGCTTACTGTGACTCTCGTCTTTCTCTGTTTCACTATTTCTGAGGGCAATGACCACGTTATAGTTATTTTTGTCTGAGCTCAGTCACTGACACATGGTAGTCACTCATTGAATATTCACTGCATGAATGAAATTTTACATAATGAATGAGCTATGGAAGAAGGAGAAGAGGAGGAGGGGAGAAAGGGAGCAGAAGAGAGAAGCAGGCTGCTTTACAAATTTCTCTGTTTTCAGACAAACAAATACACCTTCTCAAGGGCGAGTTTTCATAGGGCCCTCTTCACTAATATGTTACCATTTATGCCACAGTGATAATTTTGGATTAAAACTACATTCCAAAATTTCTGAGCATAAGTGCTTACTTCAGACCCTATAAATCGCAGCTCACCACTTTGTAAACTAAATTATGAGATATTCCTGCATATGTAATCTCACGTCTCACTCTTCCTCACCTTTCCTTCTCATCTCCTAGCAAAAGGCTGGAAATAAAAAAAAGTAGATAGAAAAAAGGAAAATGAGAGAATTCAGGCAAAACCTCATTAATTCTTAGGACTGAAACAATCTCTATGAGCTTAAGTCAATGATGACCTAAAGTAAAATTGCCTGCCCTCTTTCAGATATGTCCCATAGAATAATGTCATAGTAACATCTGCCATCTCAGTCAAGTGCAAGGCCATGGTAGATCATGCGGTTTGGTAGTTGTCACCGGGCGATGTCCCCCCTTTATCTAGTGACTTACAATGACTTTGTATCCACAAGGAAGGAAACACTTTAGCCAGACACAGCAGTCGGTGCTTCTTATAATGATCACCCTAGTTCAAGGCTGTAACCTCAACTGGAGTTCCACAGAGCCCTCAGCTGTGCACTCCCGATTGCAACTTTCTGATCCCTGTTTCTGCAGCATCTTGTGCTTCCCTTTCCATCACAAAGCAGTAGAGTATCCCACACATAGCACTGCTGTTGCTTTTAAGATAAATAGCAAACAGCATTGTAACAGCAAATTTTAAAATTAAATAAAGAGACATGGCTGTGAGCCTGGACTCCAGAGCTAGCCCCATCCAATCAAATCCTGGCTGCTTCGCTGACCGGCTTTTCATTGGGGCCTATGTTAAACTCTGTGTCTGGCTTCCTCGTCTGTCAAACTGCCTAACAATAGTGATACTTACCTCCTTCAAATTAGTGCAAACCTATATGTGTACACACACTTTTTTTAGGTATCTACCTATTTTTCTTACACCCATCTTTAGTTCCATCTAGGTACTACTGTGCCTAGTACTCTATAAACATTGTTAAGTATGTGTTTTCTATTATTATTAAATGTATGGTTTCTAATAGTTTCTAAAGTTCAATTGAAAACGGAGATAAAAAGTTGAGGAAATGCCACGATTTCAAGAGATACCAATAAAGCAGTGATAGCATGATGTAAGGGGAGGTAGAGTAGCATTGACTGAGAATTTATCAAAAAGTGGAGGGGGAGAGAATTCCTCCAGAGTCGTTCTGTGAGGCCAGCACTACTTTGATACCAAACCCAGACAAGAACACAATAAAAACAGTAAAGCTTTAGGCCAACATCCTTGATGAATATTGATACAAAAATCCTCAACAACATACTAACGAATCCAGCAGTACATTAAGAAAAACCATTCACCATGATCAGGTGGCTTCACCCCAGGGATGCAAGGATGATTTAACTTATGCAAACTGATAAATGTGACACACATCAAAAGAATGAAGAACAAAGACCATATGATCTTCTCAATAGATGAGGAAAAGATTTGATAAAATTATTTGATAAAAGGGACATATCTCAACATGATAAAGGCCGTATATACCAGCAAACCAATACCATATTGAATGGGGAAAAGCTAAATGCTTTCTGAGATCTGAAAAAACACATAGATAATCATATTCATCACTTTTATTCAACATAGCACTGCAGGTCCTAGCCAGAGCAGTTAGGAAAGAAAAAAGGAATAAAGGGCAGCCAAATCGGAAAGGAGAAACTCAGAGTGCCACTTTTTGCAAAATAACATGATCTCATACATAGAGAAAACACTAAAGACTCCACTAAAAAGCTGCTAGAATAAACAAACTCAGCAAAGATGCAAGATACAAAGTCAATGGACAAAAATTAATAGGACAAAATTATGCATCATTAGTGAGGCACCTGAGAAAGGAATCAAGCAAGCTGTCCTATTTACAATGGCTACAAAAATAATAATGCCTGAGAATAAATTTAATGAAGTCTAAGATCTCTACAATGCAAACTATAATTCACTGATGAACAAAATTAAAGAAGACATAAACAAGGGGAAAGACATCCAATGTTCATGGGTTTGAAGAATCAATATTGCTACAATGTGCACAGCAGTCAAATAATGTTTAGATGCAATCTGTATCCAAAGTCCAATACTTTTCACAGAACTGAAAAAAAAAAAAACACTAAAACTTATATGAAACTAATAAAGGCCGTAAAGAGCCCAAGTGATCATGAGAAAAAAAAGAAAAGCAGGAGATATTATGATCCCTAAGTTTAAAATGTAATACAAACTCCCGTTAGAATGGCCATCATGCAAAAATCAAAAGTAACAAATGTGGCCAATGATGTGGAGAATAAGCTACCCTAATACTTTGTTGGTGGGGATGTAAACTGGTACAACTACTACGGAAACAGTAAGGAGATCTCTCAGAAATCTGAAAATAGATCTACCGTATTACCCAGCCATCACACTCAAGGAATATATCCAAAGCAAACAAAATCAGCATATAAAATAGTTATCTCTATGCTCATATTTATAGCAGCCCAATTTACAATAGCTAAGATATAGAATCAACTCAGATGTCCACAAATTGATAAGCTGCTAGAAAAAATATGGGATAATATACATGATGGAATACTACTCAGCCACAACAAATAATGAAATCCTGTCTTTTGCAACAAAATGGATGCAACTGGAGACCGCTAGGCTTAATGAAATAAGCCAGACTCAGAAACATAAGTATCATATGTTTTTTCTGATTTGTGGTAGCTAATACACATGGTTTAAAAATGTAATTTATATGAGTGAAGTGGACAGCTTGGAGTTTGATTT